ATTTGGATGGGAAACGCTGGGAGGAGGCTGGAAATAGTCTGAGGATATGTATGTAGAATACATTTTAATATATCTAGATAGCATAGATTCATATATTAATTATATATTACTATATCTATGGTATATAAGAATATATCGAGACTGTATGTTAATATATCCAGATCATATATTAATATATTATGTCTGGATGCCTCTATTATATATTCTTGTACCTATAATATACATTCATATAGATCTATATTCTTCATCTTTCTTTATCTAGGCTGTATATCTCTCCAGGCAATCCTGCCTTACATCCCCCATCCTGCTCGAGCAACCTTTGGGTTTCATTTCCCCCATCCTCCCAAATCCTAAATCACTCTTATCTTAGACAGAGCAGCAGGCTGGGAAAACATTAATTAAACTTCTAGTAATAAGGGATAATTACAGTCCCAGCGAGGCTGGGAAAATGCCATTCACTCCCTGCTGTAACTGAACCACCCCCCCCCAGCTGGCAGCAGGGCCGGGGTGGGAGCATTCCGTGTGTTATCCCAGCTCAAACCCCGCCTGGATCCATCCCAGTTGTTCTTTCTTCAGGAAAAGAAAACCCCTTTTGTGGAGGATTTTGCAGGGTGCTGTTGTTCCCGCCGGGGCTGCCTCGAGCTCTGTGCCCAGAGCAGAATAATTTCCAGTGATTCAGGATTTTACCCTTTCCTGGATTCCTTTGCTTTTCCTTCTGATAGGGGAAAAAATAAAACCCAATAGCCTGGATGTTTAGGGCACTGTAGGAGGGGAGGAAAAGCATCAGTGGTGTGGGAAGGGGTGAAACCCATCCCATTGTAGGAGGGGAGGAAAAGCATCAGTGGTGTGGGAAGGGGTGAAACACATCCCATTGGAGGATGGGAGGAAAAGCCTCAGTGGTGGGCGACAGGATTTTGTAAGGGATGAAGGGATAACGATGCGAATCTGGGGTTGGATGGGAACTGGCCCCAAATTCCCGTTTTGATGGCAACCAGCCCCAAATTTCCACTCTGAAAGGGCACACAAGGGTTTTCAGTGCTTCCCTGTGTCCTGGAAGAAAGGCTGGAGCTCCTCCTGCATCTCACCAGGGCAGGGGGCTGCCGATGAGGATCCTCCCCAGGGGATACTCCTTCCCTCGCACCGTCACCGGCGGGCTGACGTCCAGGTTGCCAAAGGAGTCGAGGCTGGTGACAGCTCTCCCGGGGGGCTCACAGGTCACGTAGCCAAAATCTGGGCCCTGGGGAAGAGGGGAGCGGTGACAGGGACCCCCCCCCAGGCTGGGGACTTGGGGAAGGGGAGGAGAAGGGGGGTTGGCAGCACCACGACGCACCAGGATCTTTTTAAAAGCAAAGTCCTTCAAGCCTCTGTTCCTGGGCGAGTCGAAGACGACAGGGAAGGTCTTGTGTGGTGCTTCCACATAGCCAAACTCCAGCTCATCCTGTTGGGTGAAGGAGGAGGAAGAAGAGGAGGAAGAGGAAGAGGAGGAAAGCTCCTGGCAGGGTGATAGCTCTCTCGGTGAGGGGTGTGGGGAGGGTGGAGCAGGAAATGTGGCAAAGGTGGCAGAGCCTGACTGTTGCCCTCAACCTCCAGGGAAGCTGCTGCTTTGCTCTCCTGGGGGGTGACACCCCACCCAGCACCACAGTGCTGGCACCAGGCAGCCCTGGGGGCCAACAGGAGCCCACAGAGGACAGGGAAGGGGGACAGGGGTGGCAGGGTTTGGGCATGCTGCAGGGTGCATGCAGCACATCCAGCCCCACACCGCAGCCTCCAGGCAATGGGGACCCTCTTGCCATGCCACATGGAGACCCTCGTGCTGTGGGCACCCTCTTGCAATGTCCTGTAGGGTCCCTCCTGCAGTGGGGAGCTCCTTGCAAAGCCTCCCGGGGTCCCTTTTGCTGTTTCTCATGGGGTGCCTCTTGCAGTGGGGACCCTTGTGAAATGAGGTCCCTCTTGCAATGCCCCACAAGGTCCTTCTTGCACTGGGAACCCTCTTGTAAAGCCCCATGGGGTTCCTCTGGCAATGCAGGTCCCTTTTGCAATAGAATCCCCTCTTGCAATGCCTCCATGAGGTCCCTCTTGTGGTGGGGTCTCTCCTGCAGTGGGGCCATTGGGTCCCTGGACAATGTCCCTGGCCATGCTGGTTGCCACCAGCAGCAGCATTTCCCTGTGCTTTAGAGTTCACAGTTTCCTGGTTCACCTCTTAGCATCAAGGTGCTTCCCCAAGCCACTCAGCTCATCCCTCCCAGGGGTGTCAGCAACAAGGGTGACACCCCCCGTGCCCTGTAAGGCCCCTGTAAGAGGTCCCCTGTAAGGGACCAGGAGGTCCAAGTGTTACAAGCCTTGACTGATGACCTGGATCCAGCGGTCACTGCGGGTTTCCACCTCTGAGCAGATGGTCAGCTTGCAGTTGGCTTTCCTCAGCAGGCCACGGATCCCTTCCAGAAAGACCTCATTGGAGTCTGAGCCCCACTGGATGCTGGAGGGAGAGGAAGGGGCAAAGGCTGCAAGGTGGGGAGGGGAATCACAAGAAGCCCCCCACCGACCCAAACCACGCAGCCCATTCCTCATTCATTCCTAAATGTGCTGGGTGAGAGTCCTGTGTGAGGTGAGACCCTGGAGGGGTCCTCCAGCCTTTCTCCTTGGGGTTGCAACGAGTGCAGCAGCACCAGTGGGCTCCCTACCCAGATGTTGCCTCCACTACAGCATGTGTAGAGAGCCTGGCTCACCCTATAGCTGCTCTGTAGCAAAAAAAAAGGGTTGAAAACTTCTCCTTGGGTAGTCTCCCAAGGCATGAGAGCGATGGGTTGATGTTCCTCCTACCTGCAGACAAAAACCTCCATAGGCTGCTGGGTGTTGGGTGTCATTATCCAGGGTGCCACGCGGAAAACCACCGTATCCGTGAAAATTGGGGTGCCCAGGGAGTTCTAGGAGGGGCAAAAACATCAGGCTGGAAAACCCCACCACGGGGAGACTTTGCAAGGGAGGGGGCAAAACCCACATACCTTGTGGGGGACCTCCAGCAAGCTGGCACTGAAGGAGACCAACCCAGAGAAGCCCACGTTGGGGAAAGCCAACCCTTCCACGTAGAAGGTGTTTTCTCCATGGCCAGCGTGGTCCAGCACGTAGGAGAGCTTGTCTGGCCCCAACACAGGTTTGTAGTGGGGGTATGAGTCACTCCCTGGAGAAACACCAAAATACCCAACCCAAGATGGGGTGAACAACCCGTCCACCAGGCTGGAAGGAGGCACCAGCGAGGGGGTGGCCGGTGCCAGAGTGGTTTGCAGAAGAGCAGGCGTGCCTCCTCTTCTTGAGAACACACTTGGTCTTCCTCATACAAAGAGGACTCTATACCCTCAGGTCCAGCCCTTTCAAGGTGTGTGGCTCGAGTTAAGGATCTAATGATATCCTTGGGTTCCCTGACCTGATTTTCGTCGGGGATCCAGCCGCCAGGGTGTTCAAAGGCAAAATGTGCTGCCTGACAAGATGAGCTGCTTTGGCGGCTGGGTCATCGCCCGCGCCGAGAAGGTGCCGGGAGCCACGTCGGGGTTATGCTCCCCGTGGGAATGTCAACGTTTCAGCCCCCCCTCCGTGAGAAAAGCCTTGGTTTGAGCCTTTTTTAACCCTTTTCTCTTTGATTTTTCCCCATACAACCTGTCTTGTGCGACAGCAGAGGAGGTTTGGGGATAAAGGAATGTTTCCAGCAGCTGGAGGTGCCCAACCCTGAGCCACACGGTGAAGAAAAATTTGAGACTTTCCCACCACGGGGCCAGGAAAGGAAGGAAGGAAGGAAGGAAGGAAGGAAGGAAGGAAGGAAGGAAGGAAGGAAGGAAGGAAGGACTCACGGATAGCATGGAAAACTCTCACTTTATCTGCATCCGACTCGGGGACGTGCAGGACCACCTGGTACTCTGAGAAGATAGCACTGGGCCCTTGAGTCCGCAGCACCATGAGGGACATGTCCTGAAGGTCTAGGGTGGGGAAAAGATGGAGACAGAGGACACGGAGAGATGGGGTGGAGGTGAAATGCCCCAGAGAGAGGTTTTAGGGCAGATTTGCAGATTCCAGCTTACCTGCAGTGGTCCGTATGTCTGCCTGGCCGCTGTCTGTCCCCCCTGCCCCGGGGCTGTCCCGGTCACAGTTGACCAGCAGCACAGCACCTTGCCCATCAGGACCCCACGTCCACTTGGCCTGGAGGAGAAGCACCCAAAGGATATTGGAGCAAGATTTTCCCCCCAATCCCAGCCTCCTCCTGAACCAGGAAAACCCCACGGCCACGCTTGGAGGACAATCCACAGCGTGCAGTCAAGGCTGGTGGGGACACAGCAGCGATGCTCTCAAGCCACTGAAGTTCCTAACCTCAGCTTCTGGCAGGGTCAGCAAAGACTATTTCAAATGGATTTCAGATCTTATCTTCTAACAAGCCAGAAAGTATCTGCCAAGCCCCATCTGGACTCTGCTGTTTGTAGCCACCATCTCCTCTGGAGGTATGTTTGCACAGCCAGTTGGGCTGCAGCCAGTTCCCGGAGCGATGCTCTCAAGCCACTGAAGTTCCTAACCTCAGCTTCTGGCAGGGTCAGCAAAGACTATTTCAAATGGATTTCAGATCTTATCTTCTAACAAGCCAGAAAGTATCTGCCAAGCCCCATCTGGACTCTGCTGTTTGTAGCCACCATCTCCTCTGGAGGTATGTTTGCACAGCCAGTTGGGCTGCAGCCAGTTCCCGGGGCGTGAGTGCCCAGGCACATGCAGATTTCTTGCCAAAGGGTTAAATCCCTTGCTGTTTACAAAACCTGCAGCTGGTTTGTTTAGTGGCATGATTTAAGTGTGAAAAAGAAAGAAAAGGAAAAAGAGAGAGAAAGAAGAGAGAAAAAGAAAAAGGAAATGAAAGAATAGGGAAGAGTATTTTCTCCTATCCAATCCTTGGGGCTGGACTGGAGAGACAGGAGATTTTGGCATGGAATAAGAAAATAAAACCTCTTCCTCCTCCATTAGTAGGTTGAGAATTGGCCGTGTTACTGTCTCCAGTCAGGACACCAGTGACACCACCCAGGTCCCTGTCCCCCCGGGGGTGTTGGGGGCAGAGCCTGCAGATGGCTGCACCCCATGTTGACCTTCTGCCCGTTGCCTACAGCACAGCTCCTCCTTACCTTGTCCTTCCCCTTGCTCTTCACTCTGCCATTACGGTTCAGGTCCACGTCCAAGGATATCTCTGAAACATGTAGAGAGAAAAGGATGCAACCTTTCTGCCTTTTTGGCAGAGGAACAAGTGCTTGGTGGCATTTTGGGCTCGTCCTCACCCAACACCAACCCCACCTTCACACCCCAAAGCTGCTCCAGACCCAAAGCCTCCAACAAAATACTGATAGAAAAGTCAACCTGACTTTTTTCATGGCTTTAACCCTTCAGTCTTCAGCTATCTTCTCCTGCCTTGGTTCTCCCACCAAGGAGAACCCACTCCATGACATATCTTGTGTTTTCACCCATTTCATATTGACTACAGCGTTTTTCATGAAGCTGAAACATGGTGGAGGCCTGAAAGTGTTTTCACTATGGGTGAGTGGACACCTAAATAATTACTAGGCTTGATGCAACATTTGAGGAGGACTTTCCCTCTTCTTGACCCAATTCTCTGTCTCTGCAGCAATAAAGTGAAACTTTACCAGTGGCCTCATCTAAACCCTACCTAGACCTGTATGAAGCAGATACAGAAACTCCTCCAAATGGGCTGCAGAGCGTGTGGAAAACACAGGCCCTGAAGCAGAGACTCTCCTTCTCCTTGATGAGGAGAGGAGGACATGGAGAAGCTGGAACTGAAGCTCTAAATCCAAGGAAGCAAAGAGCAGTTGTGAGGGGAAAGCCCCGTGGACAGGGATGCCCATCAGTCGTGGGACGTGGGAAACCATCACCCTCTCCAGGTGCAATTTTGGGAGGCATATGCATGACTTAAGGACACAGGTCTGACTGCCATGTGAACGTGCCTTAGAAAATCCCAAATTTAGGATAATTAACCCATCCAAGTGGAAGGCTCTGCATCCAGACTGATTGTCTAGACTCCCTTTGTAGTCAGCAGGGGAAAATGGGCAATTCAAGGGAATGATTCATCTCATCCTAAACTTCTGAAATAGGTCAGACAGCTACACTTGGGTGCCTAGTCCTCTTCAGTAGCTACAACGGAGGTCGAGGAGGGGGGTGCCAGCCAAGATTGGGTGAGAGAACCTCCTCTGGATCCTCTTCCACCAACGCAATGGTCTTGGCAAGCAGAGGAGGATGCTCGGTGTGTGCGTTGGGTGGGGACACGGCCCAGCCTGTGTCTTTTTTACACCATATAAGGCAGCCTAATAACCTTTTAATTGTCTCCCTCTTGCTCGTCAGCATCAGTCAACACCCAACCCATCACTGCACGCTGCAGATGGGCAGCCCGAGCCCCTCACTTTAATCCCCTGCCATGAACCCAGCTAGACCTTGGCATCAGGAAGGGTTGGCCAGGTTTGACTTTGGTGCTGTAGGACTTACCCACGCAGGTGAGATACAACCAAGCCACCGAGAGCTCGTTGCCCTCCCGTCCATAGTATGAAATCTTCACCTGGGAAGACATCACCAGATCACAGCCCAAGTCTTGTGTCCTGTCATGCTAAGTAGGTCTTGCCACTCATTGGGCTGACCAACCAACGCTATAGAACAAGCTCTTGGAATGTTCATCCGGAACATTCTCCATTAATCACAGTTCCCCTGAACCATTTCTGCCTCGTTCAGCACAAAACCAAGCATGAAATAAAGCCAAGCTTGTAGGATTTTTGCTGCCTGGCGTGGAGTTCCAGACACCAGCTTTTGCAAGTGCTGCTCTCTCATCGTCAGGGCACAAACTGTCATCTCCTTCTCCTTCTTAGTTTCAGTTTTTGTCTGCAATAATTACACAATTCTCTTTAAGTCTGAGTTTTCTCCCTGATGAAAAGTCAGCACTACTTAGAAATGCTCAAGCCTGCCCATAACCCTCCCTTCTCTCCTAAGAAGCTTGATGTCCCTTTCCAGTTTTGGTGCATAAGAAGCAACCAACCTTGTTGTCATTGACGCTCCTGCTGGTGACATCAATGGTCACGACCACCTCTATATCAGGATCCAGGGGCCACCTGGAGTTGGCCATGGGTTTTGTCGTGGGGCTGTGGATGATGTGGACTGTAACCGCAGAGGTGGCGTGGACGTCGAATGACGTGGCACCTTTGGGAGTGGATCTGAAACAGAGAGCAGCGTTGGGTTATAGACCAAGTTGTCCCTCCTGTTCTCCATTGTGGAGCCAAAGAGTTGAACCTGGAATTAAAATCCAGCTTGAACTGGGTGGAAAGGACTCAGAAACCATCTTCGGGTGGTGAAACGCGTCATCTGAATTTTATACGCATTATCTCTGTGGTGGTGTTGAGCAAGCACAGCTCCCACTGGAGCTTTGGCACGTCCAGCCGTGGTTAAGCCTAGATTGTGAAGCGCTGAAGTTTGGGCATCCACAACAGCAAGAAACCCCCCAAAAAATTTCAGCATCCCAGGACAAAACCCCGACAAAGAGCCGGGTGAATCTCTGATGTCAACCATCTGGGGAGATGGTTATTGCGGGACCCTACCCTGACTTGAGTGATGCCCAGACTGGAGCAGAGCCTGAATCTGAGCATGGAGAACCCACACCTCACCAGCATGACATCCCTTGCCTTTGATGTGCTCCCTACCTGCTCATTACAGCCCCAGCACCTCCATCCCAGGAGCACGAGTGCTCCGACCTGTCTACCGTTGGGAGCCAGCCTCCCCAGCCACACTCAAAAAGGGACAGGGTGGTAAATTTGAACAGTGAGAACCAAAAAAAAAAGAATCCCCAAAACACAGAGAAGATCTATTCCCAGTGCTGCTCTTGGCATGGCATCCCTGATGCCTGCAGCAGCTTGTAAGGGGAGATTAAAGCTTCATCTCACTTGTCACCCCTCGTATTTAACGTGGTGCAACGTCGTAAATCCACCTGCACGCTGCTGCACGCCATGACTGCCCAAATTTGAGTCCATTTGCCCTGATTTTACAGCCTTAGCATCTCAGCAGCACCACCAGATTCCCACCATGTTCCATTTTTCCACCCCCAACCAGCCCAAACCACAGTCAAAGCTTGATGGCTCCATCCCCAAGTTCTCTGTGGCCAGTGGTCTCTGGGAAAAAAAAAAAAGAAGCCAAATTTTTTAGTGGAAAGAGCATCCATCATCTGCTTTTTTTGGATCAAAGCTCAAATTTGCTCCTGAGGAGCCATATCAGCCCATTTTGGAGCTTGGGCTCTATCTTTAAATGGGACTGAGCTTGCTTTGAGTTGAACCCTAGGAAAGAAAATATTGCAACTACTAGGTTTTAGCTATTCCCATCTGGCTGAGAAGAAAGATGCTACTTTTTTCGGGCAGCTGAAGATCAATCCAAAGCCCTTTGTGGGCCACGACAGCACGTCCTGGCCTAGCTCCAACACACAACCCCAATAATTGCCCCGGATGCGATGCCGACCGGCTCGCCCTGCAGTCTCTATCATTATAAACATGATTTATTAAATAATGACAAGGTAACAGCAGGGTAAACACAGCCTCCTATCTGGCCAATAAAGCAAAGCTCATATTTAATGCTAGAAAAATCCCCTTTTTTGTGAAATCACCCCGTGCAAACCTGCTGGTGGCTATTTTTATTTTTCCCCCCCCTTGTTTTAACTCCGGCCAAGCTGCTCATCTTGAATTGCTCTTGCCTCATGTTTGCACAGCCAGAAATAGACCCCGCTTAGCTGGGGTGTGCACGGGCTCTGACACGCTTTGACACCTCACATCTGCCAGAGCCAACGTCCCTCCTTTGGGTGCAGCTCCCCGTGGGACATCACCCCTTTCCAACAGCCCCAAGTGGGACGCGTCCCCCACGCAAATCCTTGGACGGACCCGTTCTGTGGGCTCCAAAGGAGCTCAGATTTTCCCCCTAGCCCCCGTTTCTCCTCCAAGCAAAGAGCAAAGCCACCCTTGGGCTCCCCCAAACCCCATCAGCCCTATGGAAAACCATGGGGACACCTCCATCCCAAGCCTTACCGGCGCGTGTCGAGGAAGACCTCGGTCCCCAGCACGCAGACCCCGTAGGTGGCGTGGCTGGTGGACATCTGCACGACGTGACGTTGGGGCATGATGTGCCAGGGACGGCGGCTGGACCTGGAGGAAGCTGCTGCCTGGCTTTGTAGGTAAACCAGCAGGACTGGATTAAAAGGCAGGAGAATTTAACTCCTCCTTCCCTCGATGACGGGGTTTAGCCAGGGGACCCTGGCGTCTCCACCTCCACCACCCTGCAGAGCTGCCGCCCCGCTCGCTCGGGGAGGTGGAGGCAATAAGGTGGCCCCTGAGGGGGATCAGGCAGCTCTAGGGAGGAGAAGTGGGGCAAAGGGGCAGGATGGGGTGGCTGACACCCAGCCTTACCTTGGGATGCTCAGCAGTGAGCTCTTTTGGGGTTTATTCTCCCCTTTTTATTCCCTTACAGCTCCATATAAGGACCTGAAAGCTTAATGCATTAAACATTTCACCTCCTCCTGGTCGCAACATGGTTGTTTGGGGTTATTATAATACACGGTATCATTAAAATAAAGTATTTTCTTTAAAACAATCCAAACTTTCCATCTAGCCTCTCTCCAGGTGACTCACGGCCTCGGCTACCCCATTAGAGCAATGCCCGAATAAAGCCCAACAAAAGGAAATGTTTGTTCAGGTTGGTCCTTCCCATCAGAACAGCTCCCGAGGAGCGCGACAGGCAGAAACGGGTGCAGGGAAAACTGGTTATTTAGCAGGCAGGGAAGGGGAAAAAAAAACAAACAGCAACAAAACAACGAGAGGCCTTCAGTGGAAATTAAAAAGTTCTCGGTGTTTTGCTTGGACCTCGCGTTTCGGGGGAATTGGGGTTTTTAGGGCATGCAGCAAAGCTCCCACGGGAAACATCCCCAACCCTGGTAGATGTCATCTGCCAGAGACAGTTCTCCCTCTCTCGGGGTCATCCCAGGAGGTTTCACCTGCCTGCAAAGAGGCTGGGTGGGATGAAAGCAGGAGGGAGGTCCCAGGGACAGAGGAAAAAGGCAGCACAGGGGTGGAGAGCGCAGCGACAGCCCCGTTGCCACAAGGTTCATCCTTGGAGCAAGGGGAACGTGGGGCGACGTGGTCATATCAGTGATGCCATGGGTAGGGGAGGGCTGGAGCCAGGAGAACCCCAGTTTTGGGAGCAGCAGGACCCTTTGCAAAGCAAAAAGGTCAAAGCTGAGTGGAGCTCGAAGGGCTGGTCCCCACCACTGCAGGGAGCTGCGTGCGCTCAGCCCGAGGAGCGGCGACCTGCACGCACCTTCCCCTGCAAGATCAAACCAGCTGCTTTAAACATCTCCCAGCCAGGCTACATTAAAGGGCTGCTTCCCACTTTAATTGCAGCAGGATAAAAAAAAAAAACCCAACAGCATCGTGTCTCGGACGCGAGAACGGCTTTAATAAGATCGTGGGAGCCTGCTGGGGTGGCTGGGATGCTCAAGTGAGGAACACCAACAGCATTTCCATGCTCTGCAGGACTTGGCCTTGCTGGAGATTTTAGATAAAACCCCATTTCCTGAAACCCAACAACAAGGCAAACTCCTGATGTTCATAAAGTTGTGGATTATGTTGGTTCTCCAGCCCTCCCGGGGGAGCACGAGCCTTCACACAGCCCTAAAACCCCTCAAGCTGGGGTGAAGCAGAGCCAGCACAGGGGGCAAGGAGCTCGTTGCATCCTCCAAGGAAAACTTTGGCCACGGAAGCATCTTTACCGAAGAGAGCTGCAAATTGGGTTTCCCACTCATGACTGCTGGTCACACTGGTTTGGACTGGGCACGGTGCTGAGCTTGCCGCCTGCTGTGATTTTAGCATCACATCCTGCTCGGCTGGTTTGAGGCCTGTGCTGGACAGGCAACACACCTTAATCCCCACGGGGTCAGGCTGGCACGGTCTGTAATCTGGAGGGAGGTGGAGGATGGTGGTTTTGGGGCTCCCAGCAAGCACGAGGGCTTCAGGAGAACATCAGCAGAACGTTTGGGAGCGCACGATTCTCTCCAGACTCCTCCAGCATTGCACCCACCCGAAGAGGATGGAAGGCACGGTGCCGAAACCTCATCTTTGGTTTGGGTTTGGGGTGGTGGTGGTGATTTTGTTTTCCCCTTTTCTTATTGGCAGGTTTAGTCACGGCACATTTGGAGCCGCCACGGTCACTGCGGATGCTCGCTCAAGCCCAAAGCACCTCAGCTTCATTGGGTGGTACCTACACTCACCTCTTCTTCCTCCTCCACCTGCTATTAGCACCAACATGCCCGTGCAAAGGGAAAAAGGATGATTTTAAGTCATCTGGCCCATTCAGAGCTGAGTGTCTCTTCCTAATAACACCTTGTCCTCAGAAGTTCCTCTGAAGATCCCCGGTGCGTGGCAGATGGGATCCTGCCTCTCCATTGCATTGAGCCTCGTGTTTTGGGGGCTCATTTCACCTTTCCCCCCCTAATTTCAGCTTGTTTCTAACCGTGATGGAGCCAGACTCGATGCCCCAGTGCTCCCCCAGGAACCCCAATTATAGCCCAGACCCCCTCGGGGCGTTTCTTCTCACCCATCCTGCGCTGCCACTCTGCCAAGGAAAGTTTGATAATCTCCCTAAGCCGATAATTACACCCTATTTATTACTCTGCATATGTAATTGCAGGCAAGAATTTTTAAGAGCCATGTCAGCCTAATTACTTGCAGCAGGGCAAGGCATCGAACCAGTTATCAAGTCCCGCTCGGGTTTGCATGAGGGTTTATTTATTTTCTTTAGGTGTGTAGCTGTAACAGCACGGCAGGAGCATCCCAGACAGGCACCCAGGAGTCTGTCTTCTTCCCCATCCTACTTGGAAGCCAGGAAAGAAAGGCAGGATGTTGTTTGGAGCAGTGAAAAATGCTTTTAAAGCAAGTAAAAACCAAGAGAGGTTGGTCCCTGTTGTAGTAAAAAAGATCCACGGCCAGGACTTGTCACAGCTGGCTTTACAACCACCTTTTCCTGGCTGAAAAAGCACCAAAAATCCACCCCCCATCCTCCCTTCTCCCCAAAATAAATGCATCTGCCTGCTGGGAGACTTCATATCTGGCAATCCAAGAGCAAAGCACCCCATAAAACTGCTTTGCCCCCTTCCCTGGGGGGCTGGAGCCGTGCACGTCCCCCTGTTCTCACCCTGCCCACGCTCCCCCCCCAGCTCTGCAGGGAATTTGCTGCCCTATAAATATCTCCCTGGCTGGGGTGGTGGGTTGGATCCCCCCCCCCCCCCACCCCAGAGAGAACAATAAAGCCACGGGTGGGCTCAGCTTCACCCCAGCTCCTTCAGCCCTCATTGGGATGGTTGCCTGGCTCTTCCAAAATAAAGCCAGCGAGGGCAGGAATGGGCAGGAACGGGCAGAGCCTCACGGCTCCAGCAGGACAGGCACCTGTTTGCACCTCCTAAACGTGAAAGGTCAGCTTGAAAGGACTCCACGAGGGGAACATTTCCCTCCTACTCTTTGCAATAAGGCACAGGGCTGCAGGGAAGGAACGGTAAAACCACCCCAAAAGCTTTCACCAAGCACCCACAGAGCTTAAACCCTCCACCCCCTGCACCCACCAGCTCGGGCTGCTCGGGGAGATGCTGGGTGAGGAGCACGTGGGAAGTGTCAGGAATCAGCTCGCCCGGGTTGTTTGGAAGCTCCAGTGCTGGGCTCTGTTCCCAGGTCCTGGAAATTAGGGCGGGCAGAGATCCATCAGCAGCAGGGAAGTTTGTGCAGAGCAGCTTCTCATCTGCTTGATCTGATTTTTCAAAAGAAAACAGAGAACTCCTCTGACCAGATTGACTCTAGCCAGGAAACCACGAGCCTCCAACCACCCCCCTGTCTGTACCTTCTGTGGTGGTTTACTGGGTCTGATCTCCTACCTGACAGCACAGAGCAGAGCCTGCATCCCAAAACAGCACTTCTGCCTCCTGAAAAATCCCATTCTTGCAGCATAACCCCAGGTTTCTTCAGCACCTCGTGGGGGGAGCTGCCCAGATTGCTCTGCAATGGGGTCAGACAGGTCCTTGCACTTGGCCCCAGCACTGGACACAGGTATGGAGATGGTGCCTCAGCCACCTCTCCAGAGCACGATCACCCTGCTCCTTCCTCCCCAGAGGAGATCCTGCAATGAGTGGGTGCTTTGCCAAGGCCTCTGCCAGAAGGATTTGGGATTTTCCCCACTGCCAGAGGAGCTGCAGTGGCTCCATGAAGACCTCCAAAGGCTTGCAGAGTTTCCAAGAAGCTTTGAAGGACTAAGGTTTGCAAAGAACCCAAGAAGCTTATAATGAACCTGTGTGGCTAGCAAAGAACCCCAAAGGTTTGCAAAGTCTTCAGGACTCTTGCAAAGGCCCCAGAAGTTTGCAAAGACTCTGAAAAGCTTTGAGAGACTCCAGAAGGCTTGCAAAGAACCCAAGAAGCTTTGAGAGGCCCCAAAAGCCTTGAAAGACCCCCAAAGCCTTGCAAAGCTCCAACCTGGCTTCCAAAAACCCCAAGAAGGTTGCAAAGACCCTCTTCTCCTTTCACACCAAAAGACCTGTGCAGCAATGGGGAAAGAGGCTCTGCCAGCCTCTTGGGCAGCCAGGGCCACACAGAAAAACTCCAGGACCATCCAAAAATCCCCAGAGTCATCAGGGTTTCAATCCCATGTCTGCAAGCTGGTCCACAGGTTTCCTTCTACCTGGCAAGTGCCAGGGGCTTTTACCCATCACACCAACTGGGATATAAATATATTTATATTTCTATTTGGGGGTATAAAACCCTGAGATCAGCTAGAAGTGCTCTGGCTGATTTTAAAAGTCACAAGTGGGGTCTTTGTGTAAGATGGGAGAGATTTGGGGGTAAAGGCATTTTTTTTAAGAAAAAAAAAAACATTCTCCTGCCTGACCACTGAACTTTTAAATCCTCAGGGGCAGGAATTGGGAAGTGAAAAGGGGTAAAAGAGAAAATTGCTCATTTTTCTTCCAAATGGATGAGTTTACAGGTCCCAGGAGACTGCTGGGAAGCGAGGTGACCCCAGCCCATGTGATGCCAGCTGCTGGCTCTGCTTTGGGGTCAAATTAAAAGGAAAAGAAGTCTCATCCAGTGGTGGAGAACAGAGCCTGCTTGCACAAACCTCATGCAGTTTTGGTCTCTTTGACTTTTCCTTTTAAATGATTTGTCTTTCCTGTTCCTCTTTCACCAGGGTTTCTTACTGCTGGCAGTTTAAACAGAAGTTGAGTAGATAAGTCACGATGCTTCTCAGAAGGAGCATTTTCCAGCTGCCAGCAGCTCAGCTCCTGAGTCAGGGTGTCTAAACCAGGGGTCACTGAATCCATCCCCCCATTTTGCACAGCAGCACCTGACTCTAAAAGGTGTAATTTGGGAGCAAAGTGGTTTATTTTGTCTTATATTCCCCAGGGAGAACACTGACAGCCTTTAGTAACACCTCCCCATTGCCACAAATCACATTTTTGCATGCAAAAAAGCAGCAAAACTGCCTTTTTTGGGGGGTGGACCAGCAATTCAAGGTCCTCACTCATACTTCCTCAGGTCATGGCAAAAAAAAAGCAGCAAATGAATCAACCCAGGATCTATTTCAGATGAGAAACTGGATTTGAACTTATTTCCTACACCCCAGCCACGGAGGGAAGAGAGCATTGAAAAAGAAAAGCCCGAAAGGGATATAAATAAGGAACATGGACCTGAAAGTTTCTGCTCCTGACTAATTGCTTGTGGTTTCCAAAATCCGAGAGAGAGAAGTTTTGGGGTTGAAAATGAATATTTAGCTGGATGTTAATAAATAATGCAAACGCCTGCGTGGGCAGCAATTGCTCCTGACCTGCTCTGCTGTGGCACGGGGTGGCAAGCAGCAGGTTCACCAGGCCAAACCACCTTTGATTTCCCCTCATCAGCAACTGGCTCCTCAACTTCCCTCTGAAAATAAGCAGGGGAAAAAAAAAAAATAAGGAGTGTCCTGCTTTAGCCTAAGGGCTGGGAATTTGTCTTTCTTCCACCCCAGAGCAGCCAGAGCTTTTCCCTAGAGAGCAAATAGAGTAGAGAGCCCACTGAACCCCCCAAGTGCTGCTCAATCCTCCCCACGTTGTGCTGCTCAATCCTCCCCACGTTGTGCTGCTCAATCCTCCCCACGTTGTGCTGCTCATCCCATTTTGGGGTCAGGGAGATGCTGGAGTGACAGGGACTCGGGGACAGCTGGGGGAGCTCCTTGCTTAGGGCTGGAGCTGGCTGGGCTTTGGGCCAGCTGTCCTCTCTCTCCATCCCTTCCCTCCCCTCGGAGATCATTTTCATGGGGCTTTAGAGGGTCCAATCCAACGGGCCCCTCCCTCAGACCGGGGTGGGGGCTGCGAAGTTGCCATCCCAAACTTCGGAAGCTCCAAAAGCAGATCGATCTGCTGCAGGGCCAGTCGAGGAGGAGGAGGAGGAGGAGGTGGGG